CCGCCCGCTTTAAAAAAATACGACCACTGTAAAAGTTATGACCGCTAAAAGGGAGAGGTAACCAAAGAAAACTATCACCCAGTATATCGATTTGACTAAAGCTTCAAGAAATAATATGCAATAATGGTCCAAATAAATGTACCAAATTTTAACGCGATCGGTAAAAAGGTTATGAAGTTATTCATTAAATTAGTTTTATTTTTGACAACTTTGAAAGCTTGTAACTCAAAAGCCAAACATTTTTTATTTAACTTTTTTTCGTAGATCGTCGTTTATCGTCGTGAATGTGCAGTCAAACGTTATCAGCGAAATTTGCGGACACTCTGAATAAAAATTAGCGACACGTGAGCAAGTATACCTAAATTCAAAATTCTTTTTAAATATTTTGAAAACTCCAAACATATAAGTAACAATAAGTAACAAGGGGCTCAACAACGCTACGATACACACTAAAATCAGTTCAGAATTCTAGAATAAACGAGAATGTGGAATAATTTTTTATCATTATAATTTTTTTTTCTAGAAAATTCTAGAGGTAAAAATCGACATCTACGTTTATTTTCAGTAAAAGTATCTATTTACCACGGGTTCAGCATTCTACATATAATTTTCGATAATTAATGTAAAAAGCTGTAATGGAGGACAACCAATAAACTATTACCCAAATTTTAATAAAATCAGTGAAAATAATGTCAGCCAAATTATTTTAAAGCAGTGAAGACCGGATAATAGTCCAAACCTACTACGGTATTAATTGCGTGGGAAAATTTGGATTACATTTAGGCCATTATCTACTAGTTTGAGAGTAAACACGTCATTAGTTGTAAATGTTGATTCCTCAGTAAATAAAATATTGCGATGAAAGATTCAATCAATTTCTCGCCCATTGTTAAACAAATCTCCAAACGACCACCATTATCTCCATCAAGCAATTTATGATTAAACACTGGTTTGAATGGATAGATTTTGTTGTATACTAAAATTCCTTGAATATGAGATCTGTGTTTTCTGACCTGTTCCTGACTGACACCTCTGGACAGAGTCCATAACTACAATAGTAGCAGCATCGTTATCATTGTATTCTTGCTTTATCTTTTTAATATTCTTTACGTCACTAGTGGTATCGAATTTTATAATTAGCTTGCGAACTGCTCTACGAGTTACAGTTATATTTGGATACTTTTCATTAAAAATTTGTATTGCATATCGATTTCATAGTATTTCATAAGTAAATTCGTTGCTCCGCAGGATTCTCATTATTAATACAAATTATTCGGTGGGCAGTTAATAAAAATAAATATGTTTGCTTTGACATTGATAAGAAAATATCCATGGTAATTATATGGTATGTAAGATGGTTAAAAATTGCGGCGCCTTTTTATTTTCAAAATATGATTATTGTTCTTTTCTGACTAAACCTCGTATTTAAGCATTTCCTGAGTTCTCGGACAATTTTGTTAAGGAGGTATATCGAGGTCCAAGGGAAGTGAGGAGCGCAGGGGGGGTCCTATACTTTTCTTATGGGACTAAAACCCGCTGCCAATTTGAAAAAATTAAATTCTATTGAAATTATTTGCGATAAACATTATCTATATAGCAAAGAAATCCACTCATATGCACATAGCATACATATTGACTAATTAACAACATAAAAATATCATATTTAAGTAGTTTTAAATTATATTTAATGAACGCATAAAGACTATATAGATGTGACAACAGCGCTAATAATTGACTAGCAGTTGTACACACTGCGAACCTACAGACCTCGGACATTGGAGATATTACGCGTCAAATTCGGGTAAAGATGTGTACGCGTTCAAAAATGTATTGTGTGTAAACTATGTACACTACAATTATTATATATAGCAAATATATCGTATTATCCTCGCGAAGATTTGTATCCTTTATTTAAAATCCGTAAATCATGTGAACTGGTAAAACAACGAGAATTATGTTAATTTAGTTCTAAAGAAATGAAATGATACTCGCGCCCATCTCCCGTCCAGGTCAAAGAAAATGTTGGATGCAATTTTGAAGGTTCTGTGATAGAAATTACATTATTACTCACTGTTCGTGTTTTTAATCTCTATTTTAGTAATGTTACAAAAGTTTTGCAACTATAACTAATTTTTTAGATATAAAGTTTGCTGAGAAATATTTATGTTCCTTTGTTATTCCGTACAAATGCTTTTATCTCAAGTATTACTAATTATATTAATCAAGTAAAGAAAACTTTATGTAACCCTAAATATTGCTGGGTAATGATTACGATGTTTTTATAAACCATTAAATATATTAAAAGGATTTATCAACTGTATTTTTTATTCCAATAAATATATCACAGCTTCCTAGTCTTTTTTGATTAATCTAGTTTTTTAAAAGCATTACAAAAAATCATCTGTTGTGGATAATTTATTGTTGATAACAATGTACATGGGATTTAGGGAAAATGTATATGTTTGAAACCAATTTCGTTTTTATCAAATCTTTCAAATGTATTCCCTCCTTGCTGTCAACTGATTGCGACGTTGCCATATTAATCCTCAAGACAGAAATGCAATTATTGGTTTCTGTTTCTAATTAATACAGCTGTAGGTACTATGTTCAAAACATACATTAGTTTTACATCAAAAATAAGATAATACTGTGTATTATCTGCGGAAAAGTTTTGTTTCAAAATTTCTACATTTTTTTCTCAGTTATGGGCAAAAAAAGAGCCGCACCGTCCATCTTCGCCATGTAAACCTATGTTAAAATGAACAACTTTCAACAACAATGTCTCAAAATCTAGATTCAAAAAAAATTAACGAAAATTAAAGGCACAACTTAGGGAAAATACACCGTGTATATTTTATTACATATACTGCCCATGGTTTCCCAAGATAAGCATAACTTTTTATCAAGAATAACTTTTCTCGAAAAATTAACAATAAAAAAGTTTATAAGAGTAAGTGGCACCTCATCGGGGAACACATTGTATATACCTAGACATAAACATCGATGTTTTGAATCATTTTTTTATTTTTGTTGAATAAAAAAAATGTATTTCGTATGTCATCAACATCAACATTTTCCTGTCATCGTATAGAAATAATAAATGTACGAAACAACCGACGGAATCCATACCTTCGCGAAAATGCCAAAAGCAATCGCCTCTTTCTTGAATCTAGCACATCCAGAAGATTGGAAAAGTAAGTATACATCCAGAAACGACAACTAGTCTTTTAACAGACTGCACTGACTGTGCTTTTAGAATTTATAATCATTGGTTTAGACTCGATAAAATTTCAAATACGGCGTCATGATGGGTATATCTATTACGATGCGCTGGCAGCTAAAAAAGATTCGTCGCCTCCATGCCTCTCTTAGACCAGTCATTATATACATGAAAGAGCCTGTTTCGGGAAAAAAATACTATTAGAAGTTTCTCTGCGGAATATTGTTCGGAAACCTTTTATAAATAAAATATCAAAAAATCAACTCGAGGCTAGTTGGGAAACTTTGTTTTAACAGTGGTCAAAGTTATGGAAAAGTGGTTTTTTGACTCACGTAAAAAAGCTATTATTCATAGCGAAAAAAAGTTTATACAAAAAAGGTAGGTATTAAATAAGCCTATAAAATGAAAAAAGTCCGATTAAATTCCGATAATTTGTTTATGCACAAGAGCTCAAAAATGGTCGAAAATTGCCGTTTTTTTCAATTGCTAATAATTAATGCAATTTTCATCGCAGACACTTGTAATTCAGGATTTTTGAGGCTTTTTACACCCTTAATAAGTGGTAAAAATTTCAGCTCGAAAGCTTCATTGGTTTGGCGTTGGCGGAATTTGTTATCTAAGAAGATGCTATTTTCAATTCATTTTTCCCAAGCTCACAGGCGTTGTAGGGTTTTGATCATTAGTTGTTTTTGTACCTAAATAGTTGTATTGACATAGGCATTTACTGAGAATTTAGTTTTTCAAATTTAATTTGTTTAAAATTGACTGAAAAAATGTTAATATTTATTAAATTGTTAAGATAGGTAATTATTATAAAATAAAATAGTAACCTCTTTACTTTAGTTTTCTTCGAATTTAAAAAAAAATCGTTGTTGTAAGTTGATTAGAAGCTGAGATAATTTTTTTTATTTATTTAATCGCAGTGACCTTAATTATTAATATTAAGAGCCGAAATTTGGAGAGAGTATACATTAAGAGCTATATTTTCATGTCCTACATTAACATTAAGGTGAATTCAACTATTTAATTTCGAAAAAGAAGATAGCGGCGATGCGTTCTATTACTTGGTCTAGCGAACGAGTGGGGAAGGCGAGGCTTAGCATGCGCGCTTAACGATGTAATAAATATTAACATTTTTTCAGTCATTTTTAAACAAATTAAATTTGAAAAATTAAATTATCAGTAAATGCATATGTCAATACAACTATTTAGGTACAAAAACAACTAATGATCGAAACCCTACAACGCCTGTGAGCTTGGGAAAAATGAATTGAAAATAGCATCTTCTTAGATAACAAATTCCGCCAACGCCAAGCTAATGAAGTTTTTGGGCTGAAATTTTTACCACTTATTAAGGGTGCAAAAAGCTTCAAAAATCCTGAATTACAAGTGTCTGCGATGAAAATTGCATTAATTATTAGCAATTGAAAAAAGCGGACAATTTCGACCATTTTTGAGCTCTTGCGCATAAACAAATTATCGGAATTTAATCGGACTTGTCTTATTTTACAGATTTATTTAATACCTACCTTTTTTGTATAAACCTTTTTTTCTCTATGAATAACAGTTTTTTTACGCCAGTCGAAAAACTACTTTCCCATAATTTTGACCAATATTTTAACAAAGTTTCCCAACTAGTCTCGAGTAGATTTTTTGATATTTTGTTTATAACACGTTTCTGAACAATATTCCGCAGAGAAACTTCTAATAATATTTTTTTTCCGAAAAAAAGCTATAATGATTGGCCTATCTCACCTAAAATACGTATCAGTGCACCCACCTGTATCGCTCTCCTCGTAATCCGGCGACCCTCTCGCCCCGTCCAGCGGCTTCCAACAACAGATCCCGTCACTATAAACAGATTGTCTACCGGTAAACTTGTTAGGGTCCAGGATGTTCTCCACCGAGAACGCCAACCGTCTATTCTGGTGGGGCACTACCGACGGGCTCGGGTCTCTGGGGCTCTCCGACCTACTCACGTCACTGCAAACACTCTCCGACCGCTTGGCGTCTTCCTTAAAACTATTGAAATCACTGCTGAAGTCAGTCTTGTGCGAGGAGGGCACGAACCCCTCGAAGAACTTGTCTTGTCTCCGGGTCAGATCCACGGGGCACAGCGTGTCGTCGCTCTCCACGTCCACGTTGAGGTCCTCCTCGTCGGACTTGTCGCACATCTCCACATCCCGCGAGTCGTCGGATATCCTCTTCGGCTGCAGGAACATCTGGGGCTCGGACTGCGGCGAACGGTCTTTCTCGGGGAGGGCCAGCTCTTGGGGTTTGCGCGTGGTGTTGGTTATTAGCCTTTCCATCATTAGCATTGTCATTATTTTCCGCTTTGCGCTCGGTCACTGTGGCATAGTTAAGGGGCCGGTTTCAGCCGCCGCTTGCTATCGGATGGGGAGATTTTCAGACACTAAACCAGATTCGATTCAGGCGGAATCCGTTTATGATCCAACGCAGAATGGCGAACTAAGGATCACGGCTCGGATTGGAGGGGGGGCGGGCGCGTGGATTGGCGCGTCGAGGCGAGACGCTGCCGTGGCATTGGGCTGAAAATTTCGGGGGGCGGGGCCGGTTTAAACGGGCAGACCGGCTTTATTTGCTTTGTAATTATGAATATGATTTGTAATAACAAAAGAAGCGAGTTGGGAAATTAGCAGGCCATGATTATGGGGTGTATTTTGAAACAAAGGCACTTATTTAGTGTATGTTGATGAAACAATTTAAATTTAGTAGTGGTGAAAATGTTATGGCTAGCTGTTTAATTAGAGGGAATTGTGGCGTTGTTTGTTTTTATGAAAGAGGAGCGGGATAATGCTTATCGCGGCGGACCTCGCCGATCCTTGCCTTGTTTAGGGAGTATTAAGTATTAAAATGTATGGCCCGGTTAATAACCATTTCGACGCCACGAATTAAGTCGGGCGGTAAATGTGACGGGGTAGATATCTGCGCAAAAAAAATATTGTACGTCTCATAAATTTGTATTAAGGTAGGTATTAAGTACACTGAAAAAAAGAGTTGGAGTAAAATTGCAATTTATTTGCCCTACATTCATAATTTGACTATGGAAATGCCCGCAGAACCGCGATCGTGGGGAAAGCCGACACGTCAGGGGGTCGGTTTCGAAGAGTTTCTATCAAAAGTCCAAAATTTATGTAAAAATTGTGCGGAGAAAAATTAGAAATATATGGAAAATTAGGAAAAATAGAAGTTTAAGATGAATTTTTTTAATTTGATGAATTATTTTAAATACAATACCTATTAATATTAGTAATATTATTTTAAATAAATAATATAAAATATTATAGCTATTTATTTGCCTTTTGTCAAATTGTGCT